TAAAGTGTGTAACACTTGCATCCAACTCCATCAGCAAAAGCAGATTGAGTAAAAGAGGTAAGAATGACTGAAGACAGTCATTGATCGAAAAAAAGAAAAAATATCCAGTGGCATTAAGCCAATTATTTTATTTCTAAAAGAGTGATTAAAAACATATTTTTGTGCATCTTTGTTTAAATTGAAGATAAACATGAAATGTGCTAAACTGGCATAAATATTTATTTAGAATATCTATTTAGAAGCTATGTGTACGTCCTTGCACCGTCACAGGATTTGCAACCTGTCCCTACTGTTCCATCAACAAGATGTCAGACATGTTCCTCTACTAAGATGTGAATGAAGGAATTCTCCCTTCTCTTAAGTGTCAACAAAAAGTTTGTTCCTGCAGATTTCTGTTTTGGCATGATCAGCTAAGAACTGACATTAAATAATAACTGTTTAGCCAACAACCGTATGTGCAACTGGTCAAACTTCCATTCCTTCTCTGTAGGGTCCAGACCTGAACAAGCAAGCAAGCTTAGGAGTCAGAAGCCAAAACTCAATTAACTCCAAGACACTGAGGTAGGCTTGGTTATACTTAGTTGTATCTGAGCTGGCAAGAAAGCTTATAAGCTAGGGATATCCAAGGTAGTTTAGTGCCATTTGATATTGGGGGAGGGCAACCATTAACAACTGGGCAATCAAATACTATTTGCTGAGCCCATTTGCAAGTAACACCTTTCGATTCTACCCTCTCCTGCTGTACACGTCTCTCCTACTGCTCCTGCCACTTAGTAAATTCTCTGCCCAGTAGCTGACAACTATCTTCACCCAGCTGAATTCCCAAGGCCTGCAAGCCATCTTACATACAGAAGTGGATTGCCTCCCTCCAACTTACTTTTGGTTGTCATAATGTGACTACTTGGGTCTGTGCTGAACAGAGCCCCGAGCCTGGTGGGATAGCACCTCTGACAGTTTTTGCAGTAGCAGCCATCACTGAATACATTTCAAGTGATTAATTTTCTTAAAAATAAAAATAAACCTAGTGAGTGCACATGTGCTAACAAGTTAAAAATAATAATCGATGTCTGTGACCATGCTGCTTCTGTCTGAATCCTTCAGGGGAATTCAGTTGCTAAGAACAACTTACGCAGTTTGCCATATTTCTATGTGTTAAACAACAACCAAATAACTATAGGCAAAAGTCCCAGCTGTCAAGCATGAGGAGCGTAGGGGCTGATCGGGGGAGTACAAGGCATTTTTCTCCTGTGTTATATATGCATATTAGATAATTTAAAAGAAAAATGAAATGAGGCAAGGACAGAGTGGGAAGCATGCTGCCGTCTCTTCAAAATACCATGCCCAAAAGTTTACAGAAAAAACTGTTTGACCAGTAGCTCTGTTCTTTATATAGTGCTCCTAACAGTGCTTCACGGAATAATCTTTCCCAAGGAGAGTGCACTACCAGCTCTTTCAGGTAGCAAGAAAGCTGAACTTTGTTCAGCTACCCATATAGGATTTGTCTTCCAGGCAGGTCTCAGATAAAGTGAGAGGAACTGGAGGCAAGTGTTAGAAGTAGCATCCATGACTGCTGACTCATTCCACAAAAACAACATTTGGGCCTCACTTTTCAATCTTGTCAGTTTAGGCTCTTTTTATGAGATGTTTTGTTTCAAACTGATACTCATCAATGTTGATTTGTAGGACAGAGGCAAGAAAAGCCATCTTTGTTTCTTCACGCACAAATAAAGACTGAAAAAGTTACTTAGGCTTTTAACAAAAGTATTTTGATTTTTCATGACTTTGCTTTATTTCTAAAGTCTTACTACTCAGCCATAAAACGTATCCCTGGGTTGAAACCTGACATTCAAGCCATGAGCTCGGAGCTTTGGTTTTTAACATACATATTGGAAAACCTGAAGATGACACCTCCCTCCCCCCGTTCCCAGGGTTCAATACATGCTATACATGGCATCCCTAGTGATTTTTCTGGTGGTCTTGCAAGGAAAGGATGCTGAGAACAAAATAATCATAACAATTAGGAGAGGGCACCTTTTCTTCATTTCCCCAAACTTATACTTGTGGCGTACAAAGGAAATATTGTTTTGCCATTTTGAGAGTTCGTCTCTGTGTATGTAGTATAATAAACACAGAGCAAATAGAATAATTTCTAAGATTTGAAGTGGATAAGTCAAAATTTTAAAGCTGAAATGTGACGAGAGGTAGGTCAGTATAACTAGCAAGGCACAGACCCAAGAGAATGCTGAGGATACAGTGGGTCAGTGATCTGCAGACTTACAACTAGCCACATAGCGCTTTAAAAAAAACTGTGTTAACAGCATCTGTACTGTCTCTTGGCTCTGTATAATTTAGGCAGGCATTTGAATGTGGTAGAGGTTTTACTGCCTATCAAGATATTGATCAGTAAACTGAAAATTCTCTTTGTGGACCTTAACACAATGCTCTTTAAAAGCTCATGAAGCATCACAGAACTCTGTCAAGTCAGTATTTCACGTTTTACTAATTCCCTACTTAGCCAGTTCTTTGATTGGTTAAATTTAGTGTCTGTAAACCTCCTAGTTGCATATTTGCCTGAAAAAGCTCCTTTGAGCTTTTTCAGGCTAATGGATAAACGCGTGCTTAGAGAATACCTAATATGGAGTTGACATAATACACACATTGAAAAAAAAGTTATTTAAACAAATAATAAGGGATGGTCATAAACAAAGCATTACTGTGAAAACCTGTACAATTATATATTTATGTTGTTAATTAATTATGGCCTTATATGTAACGGATGTTCTCATCTCATAATTAATTTTCTCTGAATGTGCCTAGCTCTGCATATCTACGGCAACAGAACCGTCTATTTCTTTATTAGTTCTTAATGGACATTAATTGTTGATCATCACATGATACAGTTTCGGTCACTTCCACATCTTACCAAAATGACTTATATAGGAAGAAAACTGCCTCAGAACTAAAATCAATGAGCCTTAAAAATCTCTCACTGTGAGCTTCTAGCATATGCTCTGATTTTAGAAGGTGATTGTAGACATTCAGACTGATTCATTCCTCATAAATCCACCACTAGGCATTTGGAGATACAAGGTAAAAACACTGAGTACCCGCTTGGACACCATCCCTTTAGTACACTGAAGGAGAGAATAACTTCCAGTCGGAAAAACAGTGTCATCACGCACTTAAAGATTCTTATGCGTGTGCACAAGGGAACTGATGTTGCTTACACAGCTGATTTTGAGTGGTTGTGAGTGGTTGACTTGGGAACGATAACCTTTTCTTTTTCTTGTTTTTATAGAATCTTTTAGTATACACATAAAATGTACAAATAGTAACAATGTATTTATTAATGCTGTTGCAATGTGGAGGCTAAGAAAGAAAGTACACAAAGGTATGTAAAATCAAACCTATTGCATAAGTATTACACAATATCACTACAGAACAATGTTTTAAGCACAAAGATTTTCAAATTTCACTTTCAATGTAACATCATTCATAGTGTTTCATCTAGAAATTCTTATTGTGGAAGCAAATACATAAGTAGATGTTCAGCCCAATAAATTGTGCTTGAAACGAGGCATACATTTTAGAAAGCCACCTTCTGCCTATTTAAAGATTTCAAACAGTGGTTACCAATTTTCCTGGGTCAACTGGTCTATAGACAAATTATACAGTTAAGAATGCAGGTATCTTCCTATGTGCATTCACACAGGAATTCACCTAAGTTCAACTTTCAGTCACTGCAGTTCCTTGAGCCTTTGTCGGATATCTGATAGAAAACCCTCTTAATATCTCCTGTAGGTATAGATCAGGATACTTCTTTTCCTTCTCTTAAATTAGCTCCTTAAGTATCAAGACATATTAAGAACTCAACTCCCAGAAACTCTCAACTTTTCTTAGTTTTTTCTTTTTTAATCCCTGTATAATTTTTCAGCATTTATGGAATTTCACTTTAAATTTTAAGAAAGTCAAAGCATACAGAAGACATTGTAAGATCAGTAACTCTTCAGTTTACCTATTTCTGAGTTAAAGTTCTAGACCTTAATACTTTTCTAGCAAAATTTTAATAATATTTCGATTTAAAAAAAAAAAAAAAAAAGAAAGAAGAGAGAAAGCAAAGCAAGGAGTTTTGGACTCCTGATCACTTCCATTATTTTATCTGTAGAGCCATCTGTAAGTTATCTTGACTAATTAAAGCCAAATAATTTAAAACCTTAACTTATATTAATTTGCTTTTAGTGCTTACTTTAATTTCTGATAAAGTTCTACTGCACATTCAAATTCTCCGTTCAGACACATTCCGAATGTGCTTATTTGCACAACTGAAATCTGTGCTTTTCCCCACAACAATGTAATGCTGCTGGATGACAAATACTTTTGTAACACAAACTGCTATGTTTCAGATAATTAAAAAATCATTTTTAGGGTAGGATTGATACTAATTATGATTGATTTCAATTCACTTCATATTTGCTAAACTTGCTGTTAAATTAAAACAAAAATATGGAAGTGCAGTTGGTATAAGTGCAGTTATCGGTATATGGATATTTTGAAAATCAAAGGAAGACAAAAATATTTTCAACAGAAATATTCCCTTTTCTGCCCTGTCTTGCATTTCTTGCACATTCAAGACTTCCGTCAATTTTAAATGGAAGTTCTGGGTGTGTCAGCTCTGTAAGACTGGTTCTTCATAGGGAAATGTGACACATAGAAAGGAACTTTAACTGGGTTGTACAATTTGCCACCGTGTTCAATATATTTCAAAGGTATTCCATAATAGCTAGTAGTTCTTTACAAAGGTCACTGTAGGATTATATCCTGTATTACTACAGGATTTCAGAAAGTGTTCCTTGTCTGCCAGCTGTTCAGCTGAACTTTGTTAATGAAGGTGAAGTTTTCTAGGGTTATCACTCTGACCTTTAAACTGTATTATCTAGAAAACCATAAACCTTATAAAAAAAGATATGAGAAGGTTTATAAAACATTCTCTTTGCAGACCCTGTTTGCAGTCTCACCTTTTGATCTGAAGTTGGTTTCAAGCTCTTGCCACCATGCCTGCTGATTACAATGGGACGTGGGAAATGGAGAGCAGTGAAAACTTTGAAGGCTACATGGTTGCTTTAGGTAAATGAAAAAAATATTAACTATATAGAGATAAAGAGAAAATGTTTCAATTATAAGTAAAATCCTTCTAAAAATTTATGAGACTATTTCTGTAATGTGCGCTGTGGCATAAGGGTTTCTGCCAATCACATTAAAAATCGAGTAATCGTAATGTACTTATAATTACAATGATCTAAGTATATAAGCAAGAGAAGACTTATAGCCAAAGATATTAGTCTTTATTTAGATACATGAAAAAACAGATACAGATGGGAAAAAAAAAAAAAACCAAACAAACAAAAAAACCAGGCTTTCAGATACAGAAGCTCCTTTTTTACTTCTGGTATATATTTATGTAACAGTCAAGCCACAGCCTTGTTGGCTCTGTTAAAGAGGAATAGGATATTCTATATCACTAAAGCAACAATAGTGTTTAGTACTTAATTAGTGCTTTCAATGAGTAAAAATTGTATGTACCAGTTGCATGGAAAGGTGATAAAAGCCTTTAAAAGCATATAAAGATAAATGGACAGATATTTCTGCCAATTTTTGTGGGAGTCATCATTACACAGCAGAGAATTAGGTCACAGGAGTTCTTAAACATATGTTTACATGGTTAACTAAGCTTAATTTCACTTGGCTACTACCATCATTGATGACAACAATATACATGTACATGCAAAAAGAGATATTCTGCTCTTTAGGCAACTTTCATTTACTGCTTTGTTAGCCTCTTTATCATTAGAGGCCTGATAGCTATAGTTCATGTATCCATTGTATAGGATATTAAGCATACTCTTCGTAGATGCTAGAATACCAAAACACTGTTAACTGAATGCAAGCAATATCCTTGTCGGTTCATATCAAGATCAAGTTTATATTGTTTGTAGATTTATTTTTCCCCACACTGACAGACTCATTTTTTGTAATGACTGGAGATAATTTTATGAGAGAAATGTCTTCTTTTGCTGCACCTATTATTTTCAATATAAATTGCCTTTGAAGCATTTTTGTTCTTGTAAAGGCATAAACTTTTTGCTCCAGGTCATTATGATTATGCAATTAGCATGCAGGAAATCCTTCCTGTACTTAGGTTAGCAGAGATGTAGATCTAATTTGCTGAAAAGAAGAAATAATAGAAGACATCAACATTTCTCAGTAATTTCTTCAGTACATTCTGGATTGGCATTGAAAGAACAGTTATCACCTTTCTGCAGTATCACCACTGCAGTAATATAGCTGCATTCCAAAACTGCAAAAAATATGGGAGTTAGATCTGTACATGCATGAGAAGTGTAATCTTTAGAACTGGGAATCTTCTCCCAGCTCTACTACATCACAGATGAAGGGCATAAAGGCCATTGTTTCCTTACCACGCATGATGTCTATAAAAATTACACATGAAAAGTAGTCATTAGAGTTGGCTAATTTAACCTAGATTGGAGGAGTCTGTCTGGCTCTGAATCATAAATTAGCACGTGGCAAAAATCAAACCTGTATTTTATTTTTATGCTTACAATTGATACATGTGTCTATGCACTTCTCATTCCCAGATGTCTCATTGTTTTCTATCTAGTCATCATTGATTTCTATCTTCTCTTCAGCTTTTGCTTTTCTTATTTCTCATTTCTCTGCCCTTCTACAGTAGCTGACCCCACTGTAAGAGTGATGCTGATACACAGGAGCTTTTTCAGGGCAAAGTACCTTGCACTTTTCATCAGAAGTCGAGATCAGATGTGTGCCTTCTTGTGCTTTGTTCAAAAGGTGTTGAGTCAAGTTAATGGAGATCTAAAGGACTTGTTTGCTCAGATTCTGAAATATTTACTTGTAAAGATGGAGATTATAAAAACAATTCAGTAGTTCAAAATCAATAAGTACACTGTATAGCAATCTTCTACAAGCTAAGAAAATGTATTTGTTTGGAAGAAGAGTCTAACACATGGAAGGTAATCAGGTAATTAAATCTAGCAATTTTCAAGTAATTTTCAATGTCTACACTAGTGACTGACTTAGGGATAACTACCACAAAATCCTTAACCGCAATGAAAAATTTGATGCTTTAACTGGTTTTCTGCTAGTTTTACTCTCCTCAAAGAATCTTAACCCTAAATTATTTATCTATTCAGATTGAAAGAGAAGAAATACACATAACATAAAAATAAACTCTCATGATTATTCAAGAACAATTGAAAGTAGTTATAATTTCCTCAAAGCTTCAGCTCTCTTAAGAGAGAAAGGCAAGTTTCACTATTCATAGTTTTTAACCTTTGCATTTATGGAGAAAAGCTCAATAACCTTAGGGAAGTCTGTAAATACTATACACATACACCTGCGAGGTACAAAAAAAATCATTTTTAAAAAACAAGAATGGTTAAGCCAGTATCATGAATTTCAGGAGAAAGCTACACAATAACTGAAGTGATTTGAGTGCTGGCATGTGACAGTTATACATAAAGAATAATTACTACTTTATATGCAACTGAAATGTGATTTCAGCATTAAATATGCCAACTGCAAGTGAGCCATGGGACCTGTTGGTCTGGATGATACTTAAGTCAACTCCTAGTTGTCACAAATTGACTATTCCAGGCCATCTTCATCTACCTCAGGCTTCTCTCACTGCCTGTCTCAGCTTCTGGTCTTACCTACAGTTCTTGCCTCTAGCCCAATTCTCCCTGCTTTGGCTCTGATTCAGTCCTGTCTCAGCTCTTTGTTCCAAGACCTGACCTGCTTTTGTGGGGTGTTACTCTAACCACCAGTCATGATGGTCATCCTGCTCTAGTTCTGCCTTGCTTTGTAGTGATAAAGTTCATTGTATTTGATAACTCGCTTTTGAAAATTATCTTGATAAAATCTCTTTACTTTTTAGGTTTATTGCTTCCTTTTTTTTTAGGGTACAAATTAAACACTTGTGGTGTGCATATTTCCTTTCCAAAACGATTTGTAATTATGGTGATATCTTTTCATTTGGTCGTAGTGGCCATCTCATTATTGTTCCTTTCTTCCCTTCCAAGGTATCAGATGAGATTCTTGTATTGTTTATTTCGGTTGAGCTATAACACTTCACTTGTGTTTGTCTTAAAATTCAGCAAAAATGTCAGGGAAACAGATACCAGCTGCTAATAACATGCATTCCCTTGAATTTAATTTACCCACTGTAGAATTTAAACTGTGATTTTAATTTAAATTCAATAAGAATTTAGTGTGTAGCTGTCAATACAAATATTAATTATATCAGCTTTAAACTAAACTTTAATTATTATCTTCCTTATATTCTGATCCTTTTATAATAAGTAATCCATTTTCCAATTTTATAATTCTTTTTGTACCATAAATGCTAGCATGACCTGGTCTACAGCAGTTCCTCATTGCATCTTAGTGGCATCCTTAAGAACCATTTCAGCCAGTGCATAAATTATTACTTTGTTATTATTAAATCAAGTGGATTTTTGGTCCCTTTCTGAACTTATGTATCCCAGTGGAAACTGGGAGAAAAATGGATGGAATCAGCCTACAATGGGGTCTGGACTACAGGCATCCAATACTGGGAAGCCTGCTTAGAAGAAGATAGTAAAACTGTTCATGAAAATAAAAGAACTTGACCCACTCAATAGCCTGAAACAAAGCAAGAGGAAGACTGTGTTAGAATAAGGAATGCAATATAGATGTATTTTTCCTGGGAAATACTTCAATTCATTGCCTACCCTGGGCAGATTCTGCTGGAGAGGTACTTACTGAACTTTCTGATAAAATTTTCAGACTACTTTCCCAATGAAAATGCCAGCAACTGGTTGGGATGAAGGAGCTATTTGCACCAGTTGTCTGGCCCTTCATAAATATATCATGATTTTTTGTGTATGCAGGCAGATATATATATGTTATACGAATTAAAAACTGCCAATGAGTTAGCAAAAAAAACCCAACACCAAAAACAGTGCAAAGATGCATATGGTTACAGGTGATTCTCAGAATGGAAAGAAATTACATGGAAAGGGTGAAAAGATATTCTTCTGCTCTGTTTCTCACAATTTTACATGTGGTTGATATTTTAAGCATTGAAGTGCTCAGGTTCAAAGCACACTGATGTTTTGGTTTTTTAAAAATTCATCCATCCTTTTAATTAATGCATATGCATTTCTAAACTTTAATTAAAGAGTAGTTCTGCCCTTTAAGCCAGAAACTTTGATTTTATCATAAACATGTTACAAAGTATTTTAATCTACTATAATAGAACAATATATCATTTTTATTGCTTGTATTGTTCAAAATGCAGTTATGAAAACCATGCTTTAATAAAACCTCCCCCGATTTTTCTCCAGGAGCTACAAGACTAATATATTAGTCAGAAATAGCATTTCTTTAGAAGCCTAGACATTTTTTTTCCTCAGAGAGAACTAAATTTTATGTTACCTAGCTATAAATCAGACCCAGAGATACTTTTAATCCACCACAGCAGATAAAATATACCCAAGAAGTCTTGAATATAAATACTGAACAAGAACATTATTCCCCATGTTAAAAAGTCACAATTTTTTTCAAGCCAATCCTCTTACTCAACAAAATTAGTACTTCACAAGTAGTATAATGAATCTACCAAAAGAAAAAGGGCTCCATTAGTATGTGGCATTGCTGAGCTGACAATGATTAACTCGCATGAGAAACCACTAAAGGATGGCTAACAAACCAAACCCATTTTTCAATCTCTTGCAGAAGCATGTGAGATTATTTCATTTGCATATAGCACCATAATAAGATTCACTGCCAGCTGGTCAGTAATATTTATTGCAGATGGTAATGCAGCTGGCATTAGGTGGATTGTCTGGGGCAAACTGTCATCATGGTAATATATATTCTCCTTTTGGTAACTTTCAATGCATTCAGTTGCAAGCAGTTGTTTACATTATAATGTTAGTCTTCATCATGAACACAATAAGGATGTTAAGGAGATCAGTACTGCATAAAATGTTGACAGAATATTAAACAGGAACTGTCAAATGCTGTAGTTGGATACTTTTTTTGACTTTGAATTTGACTTCCTTTAATATCTAAACTGCAATTTATTTCTGTGTCTGTCGTCTAAGAATAATGGATGTCAGGCTTTTATTTGACTGTTTCTTTTTTTATTCATTAGTATAATTTTCCTTATTTTAAAATTAAGTAATTAACCTCTTGTATACTCCCACAGACTATAGGTTTGTCATAAAAGTAACATGCCAAAATCCTCTTAATTACATATTCATTCTAACGTGCTTACCTTCTGAAAAGGAATATTATTCTGAGATCCCTTTTTTAGGGGTGGCCAACATGTGTAACCCTGCAGGACACATACCAGTACCCTCATATGCCTAAGAGCTACATGATTTACACCTCATGCTTAGAAAAGTGAATGGCTCCCAGGCATAATATGATAATAGCACTCCTGGCATCCCACAGCTTCATGTGTGACTGAGGCCAAAAAGGCAATGTCAGTCTTAATAGCCCCTGTTGTTTCATATTCTCCAAAAATCTGGAGATTCGGGTGATTTAACATGCCAGCATCTGTTCACTACTGGTTGTATGTTGTAGCTCTGCTCACAACATTCCCACAGATATCCTGTTAATAAATAAATTTATAATCAGTGGAAGATCCTCAAATTGAAAGTCTACTTGCAAACACAAAATTATTTTTATTTGAAATTATCTTTTTCTCTGCAAAATGTTGCAGGTAAGGGCATCAGTTGTGGAACTATGTTCCACATAAAATGGGGGGGGGGGGGTTTTGTGGGGAAATATAAGTGGAAATGGGGGGGGGGGGTTATTGTGTGTAAATATAAGTGCTGTGGTTTTTTTATTTTTGATAACAAATACTGGAATTTTCATTGTGATACTCTCTTTTCTGGGTTTTGGCAGATATTGATTTTGCAACTCGTAAGATTGCAAAACACTTGAAACAAACAAAGGAGATTATTCAAGATGGAAATAATTTTAAAACAAAAACACTCAGTACTTTCAGAAACTATGAACTGAATTACACTGTGGGAGTGGAGTTTGAAGAACATACCAAAGGACTGGATAACCGAGTGGTAAAGGTAAAAGTTTGGTACCTGATACCTGTTTACACTACTGTCAGCACCAGGAGTGAGCAGTTCCAAAAATCAGCTGAATACATGAAAAAAAACCCCAATATTTTACAGACATCAGAGGATTTTTATAAAGCAGAAATAATTTGCATCTTGAGACAGTTTTCTTTCCTGCTACAAGCATTTATTATAAATGCAAATCAGGTTGGTTACTCAGATACGTGAGGACAATCATTAATTACATGTTTGTCTAGTAGGGGATTTTTCCAGCTTTTCCATGATACACATTTACGTATTCAGAAAGTAGCAAAACTGTATTTTTACCTATGTGTCTTCCTTAATGAAACTGTAAATTTATCCTTTTGAATGTAGGACTTTCTCTGTGTCAATATATTTTTTCAGTTCTGAATGGCTAGGCTCACACTGTATATTTAATCTGAGCCTGCTCAACCTCAGTTGGACAGTTTAACAGTTGGCCACTGTTAAAAATAAACCTGCACTCATCTATTAACCTTAAGGGAGCTTTGGGAGGGGACAAGAAAAAAATGTGAGCCAAAGCTACCGCTGATACAGGTGGCAGGCCTACGGGCTGTGGTAGACAGGCAAGAAGGCCCAGCAGTGCATGCTTTAATATCTTTAGGATTATAGGAATAACCTGAGTTCAAAATTCCTCTAGGAATATGAACGCATATGTGCGCATATGTTCAGACACCTTTCAGTGAGATATATGGACAAATAATGTTTGGATCAAGGACCATGTTGTGTGTTGGCCCATGCCCTACCTCTTACAACAGACAGTCAACTAATAAGTCTATTCCTGTGAGGCATTCAGACAAGACTGTGTCAGGGAAGCCAGTGAGAAAAAGAATACCTACAAGCACTAATTAAATTCACTTACTGAATTGAGTTTCATGTTTCTGCATCAATACTGCTTCTGTTTTACTCTCTTCTCACCCCTGGAATACTTAAGCAAGATTTTCAAAGTAGAAAGGCTGGCAGATCTTAAATTTCCACTGACTGTCCCCTTCAGGGTCTTGCTAATCTTGGATCACCTGCTTGTCTTTGTCATCATTCACTGAATCCACCCATATCAACTCTTCTGCCAATTACCACAGTTTTATTGTTCCACTCAGCTCTCAGCTTTCTTTTGTTTTCTCCAAACATATGCTGTCTTTTCCATCAGTATCTTCCCAATAAACAAGGTTTCAGAACTTGTTGCCAAACTCTGAGAAGCTGAGATCAAAGCTCGCTGTCAACAAGACCAGTTTCATTTTGGTAATTGCCACAGGAAATTGGCAGCATAAAGGACATGTTTACATTTGAACTCACATCATCCTTCATTGGAGTGGCACAAATCTAACAGAAGACATTGTTTATTCACTATGGAACCCTTTTCATTCTCAAACTAACTTTGTGCAGTGTAATTCCTATGACTTCTTCCAAATTATTTCTCATTCACAGCACTGCAAGCCATCAAATAGTAAGACCCATTTTTTTCCAGTATCCTGAATATCCCTACCTCTAAATTTTCTTCCTATCACTTTCTCCAGTGAGCACTGGGTGGGACATATTCCTTCCTGTGACAGAGTTTATGCTTTAAAACATTGCTCCCACATCTCTTCAGATCAGTTGAAGGCATTAGTAAGGATCTAAGGACTCATTAGTTCCATCACTCTTTAAATCCACAGACTAATGCTCCTCTAGCACTCTTCACCACTATCAAAGCCATTGCCTTTTGTGCAAAATCATTTCTCTTGCAGACTCTCTCCTCTTCATTACCAATTATTTGGAAGGAAGGAAGGAAGGAAGGAAGGAAGGAAGGAAGGAAGGAAGGAAGGAAGGAAGGGCACACAGCTTGTACAATTATAACCCTACCTGGTTTAATCATTTTTGCCTAATATTCTTTTCTAAACAAATTATATTATTTGTTTGTAACAAGAAGAGAAGGAAAAAGGAAGCATGTCATGCCATTATTCTCTGGACTGCTCTAAAAGAATTTTCCAGTATTAACAAAACAATGCCTCAAACACATTGAAGTTAGATGAAGGTAATAAAACTGCTACGCAGCATTTAAATACAAAGAGGGGATGGATAATTTAAAGAGCATGTAGCTTAAAAATTCCGTAAATAAGAACGAAGTTAACTGAAATGAAATGAGTTTTGTCTCATTATTAATAGAAAGCTCCCTCATAAGAGAAATAAATCATCCAGTGCTGAACTAGAAAATTAATTAAGCTCCCAATACTCTTGGAGCTTTTTAATAACTGAACTTCCACTGACTGTAGCTGGTCTCTGATGAGGATTTGCCTATGACACATGGTTAAATGTCTCCCTAAAGAATGATGGTTCAAATCTAGAACAATTCAAAGTTGCTTTGAATGTACTCTAGCATATCTGAGTAGACAATTTAGCTTGTAAAGAGAACTTTCCCTTACAGATATGGTCATCCTGCTCCTGGACAAGAATCAGCATACCCAATACCCTGTTTATTAGTGATAGACTCTGAATCACACCAAATCATGAAATGGTTGAGGATAGAATAGAATAGAATCATTAAGGTTGGAAAGGACCTCTAAGATCGTCTAGTCCAAGGGACCTCTTGAGATCACCTAGTCCAACCCTTCTGCTCAAGTAGAGTCAGCTAGAGCATGTTGTCCAGCTTATGATCATATCTCTTTAAAGGTCTTTTGTGAAAGTGCATGAAAATGTATAAATAGATTTATTGTATGAGATGATATTAACACACACTTCCTCTTGTTATTTTATGCAAAGCTAGAAAAGATGTTAGAACAGCACCACTGGTATAAGTCCCCAGGTCTTACTCATGAAACCTTATAATCTTTTTATTAATGGCTTTAAACAGCAAGAAAAGAAAAATACAATTTCCATACATTGCACAAGTATCTGTTAATTCACTCAGCAATTCACTAGTTAGTATGAACACTTTATATTCATGTATGTGAAGAAATACATGGAAATGACAGCAAAGCATTGCAAAAGCTTCACATCAAAACGCTGTTGTCATCTTGAATGCATTCAGGTTTTGGTTGAATGGTTGATTTGGGTTTTTTTTAGGAGGAAGATGGGGAATGGTAGGAAGCAACTGTAACTGTGTCTTCTCATTGTTTGATTGAGCTTATTTTCATGTATTCATAAACTTCTCATTAACATATCTGAGTTAAATATCTGATTTGTGCAGACACTAGTGACCTGGGATGGTGACAAACTGGTATGTGTTCAGAAAGGTGAAAAGAAAAACAGGGGCTGGAAGCACTGGATTGAAGGAGACCTACTGCATCTGGTAAGGGCTGCTATACAGATACATAGCACATAACTGAAACTGCAACAAAATACGGTTTTCCATTTCAAAGGGTTTGTTACTTGTTCTAGTTAGAATGGTGTTTATCTAGACAGCTCTGATCTCTGAACTCTAAGGAAATTCCCCCTCTGCTACAACTCAGGAATGCTCAATTTCTTTCCACCTGCTCCCAATTAAGTCATAACCCTGCAGTGGTTTTTTTTGCTCCAGTCCACTGCCCTCCAGCTATTAACCCTTCTTGTTACATTGCACCTCTAACATCATCTCATTCTTATATAATCACTGGTAGAAGAAAAACCCCAACAGTATGGGACAGATAAAATATTATTTTTTGTTCTGAAAGAAGCACTGTGAAATTTTAGCATACTGTGCTGTAATACAGATCAGAAATCTCTGGATACCCAAGAGGATGCTGCAAACAACCTACACTGCAATTATTTTGTGCTAGTACAATAAAAAAGTCAAAACATTCATACAACTGAGTTAGTAAGCTGGAGCCCAAAGGTAAATGAGATGAGTCCAAGAGAGGCCAGAAGAGCATGTGCAGTCAGCGAAGTCCAGAAAGATTTCAAAATAATAGATACATAATAATAATGATTCCAGAGTTCCTTGGGAGAGCAATCAGAAATGGGCATGATAATGTTGGATGGTGCAATAGGTGGGTGCAGAAAGATTATGGAGGAGAGCTCATTGTTCTGTCTCATGGTTTGCATCTAGATACCTACTCTTCCACAAGTTTATCCTACAGATAGTTGGTATGGCCAACCCCATTGCCTCAAGTCTGTATGCTTGAAAGGTCAAAGCAGTGAATTAAAAAACACTATCTGCCACCTAACTAAAAGCCAACTGCCCAGTACACTTCTTCAACATATTTTATTATTTATATATATGTATT